ACAGAGGTGGGCGGGGCTGGAACTTCTTGTAGGGGCTGGAGGGTGGGACTGAGACGTGGGGCTGGCCTTGTAGGACCCGCACGACTGAGCGTTGGCTGGAGATTTGGGTGGGCCGGGCAGGGGACCCGTTAATTGTTGGGTCTGGGGAGGGGCCGGCCCCAAAACTAGATTCCCCTGGTCAGATCTCCGCACCGGGCCCCGGCAGCCTCAGCATCTACGACAACTGGATCCGCTATTTCAACCGTAGCAGCCCAGTGTACGGCCTGGTCCCCAGGTGAGCCGGGGGTTCGGGGCCCAGGACCGGGGCTCTGGATGGGAGGACTGGCCCTGCAGCCTCTAGCCCATCTTTCTTTACGCAGCTTGGGCTCTCTGGGTGCTGGCAGCGACTATGCCCCCTTCATTCACTTCCTGGGCATCTCCTCCATGGACATCGCCTACACCTATGACCGGGTGAGAGGCACCCCTCCTCTTCCAGCTCCAATACTTTACTCCAGCAGCCAGTCCCCTCCTCTCCTTCAGGCTTCTCTAGTGCAGTCTGAATCGGGCTCCATCACTCAGTAATTGCCACCTCAGCCAAGTTTCTTAACTTCTCTGAGAATCTGCTTATGCTCATCTAATTTATCAAATTGAAGATAATACTGATTTTAAGATGCACTATTATAATATGCACTATTCAGGAGGGGGAAAACTCCACTGCCAGTTAGGTGTAGGGTAACACTGACTGTAAGAAGCGTCCTGATTCCAGAGATTTTTTTTTTTTTTAAATATATCTTTATTGATTTCAGAGAGAGGAAAGGAGAGGGAGAGAGATAGAAACATCAGTGATGAGAGAGTCATTGATCAGCTGCCTCCTGCACGCCCCCAAGCCCACAAGCTGGGCATGTGCCCCGACTGGGAATCGAATCCCAATCGCCTGGATGCTAGGTCGACGCTCAACCGCTGAGCCATGCCCGGCCGGGCTCCAGAGATCTTAAAATGTGAAAAAAGCATTTATCTCAGAATAGATTAAAGTATAAAACAGGGATGATTCATGGCATTGGTGTGAGTGAAATGCGATAAGGGATGCAGAGTACCCAGCCTGTGTCTCCAAAAGCAGTTTCTCCCCTTCATGGCCACATTGCTCCTGGTTAGTGAAGCTGGATTTAAATCCTGCCTAACTTCAAAGTTCCAGGCTCTTCTTCATGTGAAACGGGAAACACACCTGACCCAGCTCTGCCACGTATTAGCTGTGTGATGTCAGGCAGGTTACGTACCCTTTCTGAGCGTCAGTTTCTTCCTCCATAAAGTGGGAATTCTAGAAGCTACCTCATGGATGGAGCAGTGACTCGAGTTAACATCCCTACATTGTAGCTCACTGTAGGTACACCTCCTCCCACTTCCCATCTCCAGCCTATCACCTCTGGACTTTGTTCCCCCAGAGCAAGACCTCCGCCCGGATCTACCCCACCTACCATACAGCTTTTGACACCTTCGGTTATGTGGACAAGTTTGTGGACCCTGGTAAGGAGAGGGGCAATGGCATCCTGAGGCTGGAGGAGGATGGGCTGAAAACTGAGCCCTGGCTTTGTCACCCTCTCTGCAGGCTTCAGCAGCCACCAGGCTGTGGCCCGGACGGCGGGGAATGTGCTTCTTCGTCTCAGTGACAGCCTTTTCCTGCCTCTCAACGTCAGTGACTACAGTGAGACCCTCCGAAGCTTCCTGCAGGCTGCCCAGCAGGACCTTGGGGCCCTGCTGGAGCAGCACAACACCAGCCTGGGTACGGAGACCCCCTGACATTGAGGCACAGGGAAGCCTACACTTCAGGGGCTAAGATGCTGGCTGTACCCCACAGGGCCTCTGGTAACTGCAGTGGAGAACTTTGAGAGGGCAGCTGTGGCCTTGGTCCGATACATATCAGCGCTGCAGAAGGACACCTTCGAGTGAGCAAGGGCAGCAAGCCAGGTGTCTGGGAGGGTGGTATCCAGGGCAACATGCAGGCCGGCAGCTGGGCTGCTGGCTCGAGTGACCAGCAGGTCCTGCCACCTCCAGCCCCCTGCAGGTACGGATGGTCAATGACCAGCTGATGCTCTTGGAACGGGCCTTCCTGAACCCTCGAGCCTTCCCAGAGGAACGCTACTACAGGTGAGCTGTCCCAAAACTCTTGGGAGGCTGGGTAATGGGCACCGAGGAAGGAGAATGTCAACATTTCACTGGCCTTTAGGGGACTCAGGCCCAAAGGAGGGGAGGCAAATCAGTCAAGGTGACCCTGGGACTAGAATCTAATCTACCACCACTGTAAGTGCGCAGCTTTTAGTGAGTGGGAGGTGCTTTTGTGCTGAGCTATATACAGGAGCTGAGGCAGTACCAGGCTGAAGCTTCCCTTGTTTCTGGCCCTTGAATGACCCTGAGCCTCCCCTATTTCTCCTGTTAGCCATGTGCTCTGGGCACCTCGTACCAGCTCCGTAGCCACATTCCCAGGCCTGGCAAATGCCTGTTCCAGGGCCATGAACACAGACCCAGGATCTGCAGCCTGGGCTGAGGTGCAGAGGCAGCTCAGCATTGTGGTGGTGGCCCTGGAGGGTGCAGCAGCTACCCTGAGGCCTGTGGCTGACCTCTGACCCCAGCCCTCCTTCCTCAGCTCCCACCACCACCCTTTATCCTAACCCTCTCCCATTCCAATTTTCTTTGGGTGTGTCCCAGTCTTCCCCGATGCCAAGAGAGGTCACGACCATGGGATCCTCTCAAGCTTCTGGGGCAACAGCTCAGGGTCCTACCAGCTGTGGTCACCTGAGGGGAGTGACAAGCCCTGGATGAGTCTCCCTCATTCTGGCTCTTGGTTGACAGGACAGGAGGTGGGGATGGTAAAACCCTCAATTGCTCTTGGAAGTGGGTGGGTGAGGATAGGATACATAATGCCAACATTAGATGCCAGCTCAGAGTCCACCAGGGCCACCGCTCAGGGACCAGCAGGGAAACTGAGGTCCAGGGTAAACAGAGCCTTGCCCACTCTGGGTTCTTCTACCCTCATACCCCCAGTATTTTCTCAACTTCTCCCTGCCCTTCCCCAAATAAATCAAGTCGCACTATTGTCCCTACAAAACAAGTTCCTTTTATTGTGTGGGAATCATGAAAAAAAGAAACCTGAGTGCTCAGACCCAGCCCCGGGCTCTGGGAGACTGCACAGCCCCTCCTCATGCCTGGGACTTGGATCTGTCCTCACCCTCATCTTCCTCCTCTGCCATGACTACTTCCTCCAGGGTGCGTCCTCCAAGCTTACTCCCCACCAACACTTTGCAGGTCCCAGCAGGTGGCAGCCCTTCCTCAATGTAGTGACCCCTCAGGAACACAACTCTATCCTGTCCATCCAAGGGCAGTCCATGGGCCTGGCACAGGTCCCGTGCCTCCTCAAGCCCATCCAGGGCCAGCAGGTGGACCATGAATCCCAGGGGTAAGGTTTGGCCCTTGGGGGTGCTCAGGGCACGAGCAAGGTGGGCCAGGGCTCTGCGGCGGGCATGGCCCACATGGCACTGCACTGCGCAACTCTGCAGGTATGGCAGGGTCCGGAGCAGGCGGAATAGGCGGGCGGCATTGCCTTCGCGGAAGGCTGCATCCACAGCCAGGGCTGTGCGTAGGGCTGGGCAGGAACGCAGGGTAGCTGGCAGCTGCAGAACCTCATGAAGGGCCTCTACTGAGCCTGTGAGGGTGGGAAGCGGGGATGAGAACTGGATGAGTCCTTTCAGGATCAGGCCCACCTTCCACTCCATCCCCTATGCCTCCTCCACCCATCTGAGCTTACTGGGGCTCCAATCCTCCACCAAGCCCACCTCCCTCCCCAGTCCTGCCTACCAACCCGCTCTGGCCGTGCATCTCCTCTAGCCAAGTCCACTTTCACTTCACTTTTTCCCATCAGCCCTTCCTGAGCCATATCTGAATGAGTTGCTGGAGGTTGCCCCTTCAAACAGTCTGGATCCTCATAATAGAGTGAGGCAGTGTTTGTTGATGAAAGAAAAAGACCCAGATAATTTAACGACTTGCCTGAGACGGTCCTATAGTTCATATGTAGTAGAACCAGATCCAATCAAATCCAAGCTTTCTGACCTGAAACCCAGCCCTTTCTCCACTGCCCTACCTGCCCCACAGATCAGGGCACCAGCTCCACCACACCTTCCTCTGTCTCTCTGGTAAGGCCATTTCCTCGAGGAGATACTGCCCCTGCTTCCCTTCCAGAAGAATCATGGACACTTGGAACCTTTGGTTACTTTTGTAAACTGAGGCTTCTGACACATTAGTGGGTTGTGAAGTCAACCGCATCTTACATTTAAATATACTAGAACTTATTAGAATGCACCATCCACCCACAGAAGTCTTGACACTTATGTCTCAGATATATTCGTATGCATATGTGTTCTTGGATGCTTTATCACACTAATTTCAGGGTAAAAAAGTTTGAAAATCACTATCTAGGCCAACTTTCCTGTTCCAACCCCATCCCCTCCACTTCTTTCAGGAGAAAACTGAGACCCAGAAATGGGAAGGGACAGGCCTGAGGGCCTATGACGGGGGTTGGTGGATCTTGTGCTTTGACTTGACACATTTAAGAGGCAGGGATGGGGAGAAGGCTAAGATGAGATTTTAAAGCTTCTCTTTCCTTCCTGGCATCCACTGTCCACACGCAGGGTTCCCCGCCCCGGCGTTCTGTCCCGCCGGTGGGACTTCGACTCACCCAGGTTATAGAGCAGAAAGAGACCCTGGAAAAAGGGCTGGCGGGGGTGTGGCCCGGCGCTCCGCGCGTAGCAGCGCCGCAGCGAACCGAAGCCCTCCTGCACCTGAGCCTGCAGCAGCACCGGGTCCACTGGCCCGTACGCTGCATTGGGCCGGAACCGCGCCACCACGGCCAGCAGCACAGCCAGCGCCGCCTCCAGCACCACCACCGACTCGGCGTCGCCCGCACTCTGCAGGGCCAGGTCCAGACGCACGGCGCGCAGCCGGTCCGCCACGAAGCCGGCCACCTCCGCGCGGGATGCATCGGTGCGATCCGCCACCTCACTGGCCAAATAGCGCACGGTGGCCAGCAGCACGGACGGCGGACGCAGCAGACTCGGCTGGGGCCGGGCCTTGCCGGCGGCTGGGCGGCTGTACTCCTTCACCGCGCGCTGCGGGTCAGCGCGGGGCCGTTTGCCGAAGCACCCCGGCGCCACCTCGAAGCGATGCAGGCGGCCCTCCTCTTCCCGTCGGGCGCGCTCGGCCGCCGGGCACATGTCCGGGCATGTGCCCACGGGCAGCTCGTAGCCGGGCATGGTGGGCTGGGGGGAGAGGGTGGGCGCTCAGCATCCCGAGGGCAGCGGCGGCCCGTCGCCCCATTCTGCGGGGAGGGGGGCACGCCGTGGCCGGCGGAGACTGGGACAGTACTGGGCAGGTACAAGCGTCCCCGCCGCCCGCAGGCAACCGCCGACCTCTCACCGAGTCCTGTGGCTTCCCACAAAGCATCCAGCAGGCCTCCCGAGATGCACTGCGCTGTAGTTCAGCGCCGCTACCGGTAACGCACGCTCAGGACCCGCAAATCGCCCCATAATGCGCGGCGCACATCCAGCAGGCCTCCCGAGATGCACTGCGTTGTAGATCAGCGCCACTACCGGTAACGCACGCTCAGGACCCGCAAATGGCCCCATAATGCGCAGCGCACAGCCGGGCCACTCCCATAATTTTGTAGCTCCTCCCGCAACCAATCGCCTTGCGGCAGGGCGGGCAGGGGCGGAGCCACGCCTCCCCAGGGTCCAGGCACCGAAGGGTCAGCGCTTGGCCTCCGGCACCCATCTCCGCAGACTGATGCCCCGCTCTGGGTTCCTCTCCGCCCTCCCTTTTGACCAGTAAGCTGCCCCGCTCGGCGTTACTGCCATTCTCCACTGTTTCCCTGGAGACTAGTCTCCGCTTTTTCTAGATGCGGGGTTAACAAGTTTTCAGCAAAGGGCCAGGTAGTAAATATTTTGGGACTTGAGGTGGCAACTACATACTACGAGCTGCCCGTGGGCACATGCCCGGTGATGAGCTCAGCGCTGCAACTACTCATCCCTGCTGGTGTAGCGGGAAAGCAGCCATAGACAATACTAAACGCATGAGCCTGGTTGTATTCTAATACAATTGTATTTTTAGATACTTAAATTTCATATCATTTTCGCCTGTCAGAACATTCTTCTTTTGATTTTCCAACTATTAAAAAAACGTAAAAACCATTCTTGCCTTACAAAAAAAGGTAGTGGGCCAGACTTGACACCATGCCACAGTTTGCAGACCCCGGTTCTCGAAGGGTAAAGAGAGTTTAGTGACCAGAGCTACTGCTCACACATCAACACAGACTAGCAGGATAAGTGAGTCCCTGATTCCGTGCTGGCAGGTGTGGTCAGGGAACTGAGTCATTATTTTTCTCACTCTTGGTCCAGTTATGTACAGAAATGGTCTCTGGAGTTACAAGACCAGGAGACAGGGCAGGCCCCAGGGAGAGAAGAAGGGGATGGCTGGCAGTGCTGGAGCTCGAGTCCTAGGGAAGGGTCCTCTCCCTCTCATGGAGGGACTTTGGACAGGTGCAGGTGCAGGATTTCCTCTGCCCGCTTCAGGTACTCCGCTGCCTTCTTCTTCACACCCTCCCTCCGGGCAGGTGATGGGTCCTCTGCAGAGAGAGAATGGCTCAACTGAGGTGCCTGGGCTCCAACCCCTGGGGTAGCCCCTTATTGTCCACAAAGCACCAACACGTGTCTTTCCCCTTCCCTGGGGATCTATTCTCCCCATTTTACAAACAAGAAAACTGAGGCCGCAAGCAGTAGACGCTGCCCAAGGCTACAGAGCTGGGCAGGGAGGAGCAATTCTCATCCTTGACTTGCATTTCACATTCCCTTCCCAGCACTGCACTAGCTGGGACCCGGGGCCTGAGCCGCCTCCCTCCAGTGCTACTCACCGGGAACTCCCTGCAGCAGGATGTGCACGCCGTCCCGGTAGCCCTGCAGAGCTGCGGCATAGGCGCCTGCCTTCTCATCCCGCAGGGCCTGGGTGATGAGCTCAGTGGCTCGGCTCAGATAGGCAGGGGTGGGCCCTCCTTCCCTGTCCTCCTCCTCCTGCCCTCCTGGCTCCCAGGGTTCCTGGTCCAGCCTCTCAGACTCTGCCTCCAATGCTGTCAGCTCACCTATGTGGGTAGGACTGGGGCCTGCACCTTCTGCAATCAGATAGGGAGGACTCAGGCCATACTGTCCCTCCCTTTCCCAGGGCCTGCTGCCCACCCCCGGACCTCTCTTGCTCATTAGGGTGCCAACCTGTCCCAGGTTGGGAGGAGCAGTGCCTGAGCAATTCAGAAGCCACCGTGCATAGGAAACTAGCCATGATCTATTGCTTGGTGTTCATACGCTTTTGTAAAAACAGCTACCTTCCTAATTCTTTCTTTAGGTACACACTAACAGCTTCCAAGCTCTGGGTCACTGGTCCTACTTTCCTCCTGACTACAGTTGATCTATCAATCCAAGAATTCCCTCAGTAAAGTTTAATTGAAGGATGCTAGACCAACTATGCCAGGCCAAGGGTAGAAATATTCCAAGCCTTGGAATCTTAGGGGTTTTTTTGAGGTCTTATAATTTCAGCTGAGGCCCCACTTGGGAAGATGCTGGCTGGATAGTAGGTATCGTCACATTCCAGAGAGAAGGGCTCATTATATCCCCCAGGACTGGCAGAGAGGTGGCTGAACGTCCCCTCTCCAACTTATAGAGATCTGGTGACTCTGTGATGAAAAGGCCTTTGAAGGGAAGGTGCAGGAGCAGGAAGCACCATGGCACACCACTGGCCCAGAGATGGAAATGTGCGCATCTCTCCAACCCATCCAAGTGACCCCATGAGCAGACCGGGGCTTCCTGCAGGAAGGGAAGATGACATCTCACTGCCCAGCTGGACCTGCAGCCCTCCCTGTGTTGCTAATGGAGCAGAAGGCGGAAGAGTACTTGGGACGCCCTAATACTTGAGTTCAGGAGTTTGGCGTATGTGATAGAGACAGTGCCACTGTTGCCTGGAGAGTCCGATGTTGAGAGGCTTGCTGGAGGTGCCCACAAGACTAGGGCGAGAAGACTAGGCAGTGTCTGAGCAAACACGGTTCCTGGCTTTGGGAGGTCAAGGATTTGTGAGTTTTCCTATGGGCTGAGGGAATGTCACACAGGAGCCGCCTTTGACAGACTCCTGTCTAAGCATCTGGCCACCAGGCAGCCCAGGCTGGGGCAAGGCAGATCCTGATGAGTGGGGTACATCAGTCGCAGTGACACCACTCCTGCCTTTCCCTCCAATTCCTTCCTCTTCCCCAACCCTGGAGGGGTGGGAGCAGGAAGGGGAGGGAGCATAATTAGAAGAGCAAAAGAACCCTCATACCCTTGGTCACCAGGGGCCGGGCCACCAGTCAGGCCTGAGCAGGGTGAGGCGGGGGAGGCTGCAAATCAGATGAGAGCGAGGTCCTGATTTGGACCAGATCTGAGGGTGAGAGAGCTCAAATGCCTGAAACTGATAAAAAAAACTAAGGGTCTGCCAGGAGGTCACCAAAGGGAGAAGAGAAGCCAATGCATGGGCTTTAAAAAGACTGTTGAGGAATCCAAATGAAACTGATTCATGATGATCCCAAAGTGAGACTGGTCACTTCAACATGGCAGCTGCGGGAACAGTATCAACTCCGGGAATCTCACAATGAAGAGGGCCAGGGTCTCAGAGCCCAGGACTGTCAGGTCCCCTGATCGCAGCCCAGGAGCTCAGGACCTGGACCTCCACGGGGGGCCCTTTCCATCCTGGTGCCCCCCACATGCCAGCAGCTTCTCCATGGCCTTCCTCTGCTGCTCTCTGAGCCCAGGCCTCACCTCCTGACTTCGGGATCTACAGCCAGACCCTGAGCCAGCCAGGAAACCCCCGCCTCAAGCTTGCAACTCAAACCCTCCCAGAGCAGTATGACCCCTGCTCATTCCAGAGCTTTCTCAGGGAGAAGATCCCATTATGGGAAGTGACTTATTTCATTCCATCATGGTTGCTCACTGTACAGGGGCACCCAGCTTGGCACAGGGCTATGGTACTTGCTTCTAATTCTCATCGAGGCTGCCATTTGCCCACAGAGGGCACCTTTCTCAGATTTACACAGGCACCACAGGCTAGGTGGCGGCTCTGCCAACCTCCCTTCCCCTGAAGAACTGCCCGGCCCTCTCTGTGATTGTCCCAGTTTGTTACCTTCTTTGGAGAAGGGGTCGAAGAGGGCAAGCTCGGCCTCAGTGAGGGGGCCTCGGGCAGGTGAACCAGACGCCTCCTCGGTGCTCCCACAGTTAAAGAGGAGATCCAGGGCCTCCTGGGCAGGGCTGGATGGCATGGGGTCCGCTGAAGAATAGATCATTGGGGACATTCATGTCTGCCCTTATCACTTTACAACTTTCAAAATGGAGCTAATCTCTCACTGAATCCTTGCAGCAACCAGGGGCACAGACAATCCCATTCTTAGGGTTTATACCCATTTTACAGATTAAAAAACTATGGCCTAGATGCCTTGTGCAGAGCTCCCAGCAGGTTAGTGGTAGAGGAGCCAGAACACACCCCAGGCCTTTCACTAAGATCACTGAGGAGGGAGTGTGCCCCTCCCCCATTCTGGACCCTCCAGCCTTGGCTCCCTCCCCCACTCCAATGTACCTGGCACCTCCAACTCCTCCTGACCCCTCTTCTCTGCTGGGAGTGGCTGGGGCAACCAGGACTCATCAGGTGGTGGCTGGGGCTCCTCAGGGGGTGGTGTGGGGATCAGAGGGGGTGGCAGGATGTGCAGGTCCCTGGACACCTGGGAGGGCCGTGTCACCTCCCCACCCTGCAGGAGAGAAAGACCAGCCAGGAGGAGTCACAAGGGTGCAGCCTGGTGGCAGGAAGGTTTCCCAGGTGTGTGTTGGGGGGGGACACAAGCAGGTCCACGTACCCGGAAGAACTCCTTGAGCTGGGGGCTGTTGTTGAGCGCGGGGATATGCACAGTGAAGCGAAGCAAGTCCTCAGCCCCCTTTCGCCGCTCCTCAATCACAGAGGCCTCGAACCTGCCTACAGTCCCCCAGGAAAAGGGGCAGGAAAAGCAGCAGTGACTCAAAGGGCCTCTGGCCCCCAGGCCACTTCTGGTTCTAAACCTTTCTCATTCTCTCAGCAATCTTCCCTGGGTGGGGGTGCTTGAAAGAAGGGACCAATCTTCTTGTTCATCCATTTACCAGATGCTACTGAATACCTACTGTGTGCTAGGTTCAGAAGGTGAATGAGAGAGAAGCAAGGTCTCTGCCCTCATAGATGTCACATCCTAGACAGGGAGAGGCAGGCAACCAACAAGAAACAAAGTAATTTCAGATGGCTTTGATGTAATGAGGAGCAAAGTAAGGCTCAGAGAAGGAAAGTGACTTGCCCGAGGTCACACAGCAAGTAGCCCCCGTTTATTACAGTATCACTGCTCTGTTCTAGGTATGCAGAGTTGTCTAACTCTGGCCTAGTTACCATGCTGCCTGGGGGAGCAGCCTGGCACAGCCTGCCAGCGGCAACCTTCACCTTGCTGCAGAAGAACATCTCACGTGAGTCCAGAGAACCAAGTGCAGATCAGCCCTGTCCAAGTATAATATGTAACTAA